TCTTTAAAAATTTCTATGTCATTTATTTCCTGATTTTTTTTTTTCAACCTACTGGCTTTGGGTTTGCTTTGTTCTTGTTTTTCCAGGGTATTGAGGTTATGGTTTTCTTTTGTTTTGTTTTGTTTTTTTGTTTTTAATTTAGGCACTGTTAGTTAGTTAGGAACTTTACCCGTAGGACTGCTTTCATTATATCCTGTAAGTTTTGACGTGTTCTTTACTTTTTCATTCAATTCTCAGAATTGTTAAAAATTTTCTTCTTGATTTCTTCAATGGCCCATTTATCATTCAGTTGGGTGTTGTTTAATTCCCATGAGTTTATGTATTTTCTGTAGTTTCTCATGCTATTGATTTCTGCTTCATTACATTGTGGCCCTGATTGAAAATAACAAAAAGCTATTCTAGTTTTCCCAGTTTGCTTTCTAATAAGATCATTCTAGAGAAAGTTCTATGGGCTACTGAGAAGAGTGTGTATTTTTTTTCCCCCCAAGACAGGGTTTCTCTGTGTAACAGCCCTGGCTGTCCTGGCACTTGCTCTGTAAACCAGGCAGGCCTTGAACTCACAGAGATCCACCTTCCTCTGTTTCTTGAGTTCTGGGACTAAAAGCATGTGCTACCACCCCCAGGCTTTATTTTTATTTTTTAAAGTGTGTGTGTGTGTGTGTGTGTGTGTGTGTGTGTGTGTGGTGTGTGTGTGTGTGTGTGTGAAGTTGCATATTTTAAAGTACACAGATAGAGGGGGGTAAGTGAACAACTGGGTGGAATTGGTGCTTCCCTTCTATATTTTGTTTGTTGTTTATTTGTTTGTTTTGGTGGGATGACCTGTCTTATTGGTGAGACTTAAATTCACCATTATTGTGTTGAGGTTAATTTGGTCTTATATCTAGTAGTATTTGTTGTATGAATTGGGTACACCCATGTTCTGTGCATATGTTTAATCTTGGTGGATTGCTCCCCCATATGAAGTGACTTTATCTTTTGGGTTGAAGTTTGTTTTGTCAGATGTTAGCAGAGTGACACATATTTACTTCCTGCTTTTCTTTGCTTGGAATGTTTTTCCATCCTTTCGCTTTAACATTTGCCTTTCATGGTGAAGCACGTTTCTTGGGAGGTAGCAAATAGATGGATCCTGCTTTGTTGTTCTTAGTTAAATTTATTTATTTTTATGTGTATGGGTATTTTGCCTGCACGCATGTCTTTCTACCACATCCAAGTCCACAGAGACTAGAAAAGATCATTGGATTTCCTGGAAGTGGAGTTACGGGTGGTTGTGAGCTACCTGATGATGTGAATGCTGGGAACTGAACCCAGGTTCTCTGCAAGAGCAGCCAGTGCTTTTAACCATCAAGTCATCTCTCTACAGCCTTGATCTTTAAGCTTTTAAAAAAAAAAATTGTGTGTGTGTATGTTTGCCACGGACTTTGAGAACTGTATGAGTCGGTTGGACACTGGGCACAGTCATTTATCCCTGCTTCTTTTTTTTGTGCCTGGCTTAAGAAATTATTTTATAGCAAGTGTATCTTGAAGGAGTAGAGACATTATTGTGTGGTGTTCTGTTTTCTTTTACCATCTCACTAATAGGGCTTCTAATCCCCTGTCTCAGCTGGAAGTCCTGTTTTTAATTTCTGTTTACAATTTGTGTGGGTGTAGTGTGGTGTAGTGTGTGTAGCTACTGGAAGATGTTTGTCTCTATTATGTGGGTTCTAAGAATCAAATTTAGGTCATCAGGATTGACAGCAAGCATCCTGTCCACTAAGCCTTTTTTTCTTTTTCTTTTTTTGAGAAGGGTCTCACTTACATAGTCCAGGCTGGGCATAGGCTTTCATCATTTCTCCTGCCATAGCCTCCCAAGGCATTGCATGCATGAGCCATCATGCTTCATTATACCTTTTTTTCTGAACAGCATTGTTAAGGTACAGTTTATGTGCCATATTGTTCACCCATTAGTGTGTACCTTTCAGTGGTTTTTAGGATTGTGAAACATATGTATCTATTAGCATAGTCAGTTTTAGAATATTTTCATTATTTTAGAAAGACATCTTGTATCCTTCAGGTGTTTTCTCTCCATTTTCCCAGTCTCCAACCTTAATATAGCAACTAATCTATCTCTATAGATTTCCTGTTCTGGAGTTTGAATGAGTAGAATCATATAATTGTGTTTGTATGTTTAATTTTTTTCCCTACTCAGCATTGGGCAGGGGATTATCATAGTGCATTGTCTGCAGGTATGACAATGTAAGTAAATAAAAATTGGGTCTTGCCTTGTAGCCCAAAGTGGTCTTTAGCTTGTGATCCTCTAGCTTCATTCATGCTTCTGTGCTACAGTCTCAGAAGTATGTCACTATGCCACTTCCATGTTGATGCTTTCAGTGACATGCTCAGTATCTGCAGAATGCAGAGTCACAAAGATTAAGACATTAGTTTTCTTTAACACTTTATTTCTGTCTCACTACTTAGTCTGGACTGCTCTGAAACTAGAAGTCCTCCTACCTCAGCTTTCCCAGTGTTAGGATAGTATGAGTGCCCTACCACACATGTCTGCTTTTCTTTATTTAGTTTTAAGTTTTTTAAAAAACTTGTTGTTTCTATGCACATGTGCATGTGGGTGCCCACAGAGGCCAGAAGTAGATTTTAGATCCCCTGAAGATTGAGTTTATGGGCTGCCCCATGTGGATATGGAGAATTGAATGTGAGTCCTTTGCAAGAACAGCAAAAACTCTTAACCACTGAGCCATCTTTCTAGCTTCCTTGTTTCTGTTCCAACATGTGATCTCATGTAGCTCAGGCTGGCCCCAGACTTGCTTTGTAGTCAGAGATGGCTTGAACTACTAATCTCCTTTCTCTGCTTCCAGAAAGTACTGAGATTACAGACTGTACTACCATGTCCAGAAGATGAATAATATCAAAAGATGATTAGAAGATTGTGGGTGTGCTTTGGTAGGAGAGTGTTTGCCAGGCATGTATGCGTACAGGGCTCTAGGTTCAGTCTCTACCACCACAAAAACAAAAAGATACTCATCCTACAAAAAGTTTACTAACCACTAAAGAAGAAAAAATGTCATATGAAATTAAGAAATTCTGTTGTAGGTCTATTATTAATGTAGAAAGGTAAGCCATAGACTGCTGGAAATATTTGTAATTTAAATCTGACTCCCCCTCCCAAACAAACCCTTTTGTCTAAAAAAATATAAAGAACCTCTAGCAGCTGGGTGATAGTGGTATACAACTTTAATCCCAGCCCTCTGGAGCAGAGGTAGGCAGATCTCAGAGCTTGATGCCAGCTTGGTCTACTGAGTGAGTTGTAGGACAACCAGGGCTACACAGAAAACCCCTATCTTGAAGAAAAAAACAAAAAACTGGGTGGTAGTGGTGCACACAGCACATGGGAGGCAGAGGCAGGCAGATTGGAAGAGATCTTTAAGACCAACCTGGTCTACATAGTAAGTTCTAGGACATCCAGGACTACACAGAGAAGCCTTGCAAAAACAACAAAACAAAACAGCTAATAATATTTTTATTTTATTTTTTTTTTTTTATAAAATGCTTGAGACCTGTGTCAGTTAGTCTTGTCACTCCATAGGACTTAGAATCACCATGGAGCCATACATATCTCTAGGCATGTCTTTGCTGGTTTATCTATGTTAGGTTAATATAAGTGGGAAAGCATATTACAATGAATGATTTGCTACACAGAGCAATACAGAAGAGTTTCATATAAGTATAGAATTAGGCAGGAAAAACAGCTGGGTATGATAGAGTCCTAATAATTCCAGAATTTGAAAGGGTGAGGCAGGAGGGTGTCTTTTTCCAGACTTTTACTTAGCCG